GCGGCGGCGCCCGCCCGAGCTGTTCCCAGGCAGATCTCGCTCTCCGTGGACAATAGACAATGGGATTTTTTTTTTTTTGGAACAATGATTTATTTTGGGGGGTAGGGATAAGGAGGAAGGAGGGAGGACGGGAGGAAGCAGCAGTGTGTTTGTCATCGCTTTAGGGAAAAAAAAATCTCGGTTCCGTCATTGTTTCTGCATATCCATTATGTTGAGGACAAAAGAATGCCGTTCATGAACAACAAAGCCAAGGGACATGTTTTCTGTGGCTGACATTTAATTGTGTGCGCAAGGTGCTACATTATCACGGGGAGAGATGGTACAGCGGAATAGGGCGCAGCGTCAGTTCAAAAGCCTGACATCTGCTTTAAGATGTGAGCTTTCTCTCGAGCCTCATTGAATGGTGCCCTGTGCACCCTCACCTACAGTGCTCGCTGCGCACAATCCCACGTCTCTGGACCGTTTTCCCGTCCACCTCCGGGGTCTGTTCTTTGACAGCTAGCAGGGATCATCAGGTGTTTCTTCACAACCTCCTTATGTGTTTTTTGCTAAAAGGATCCTGGTTTTTAGAAGCCGTTAGGGACCTTGGAGAATGTGAGCCCAGCCCTCTCGTTTTGCAGATGAAAGAGGCTGGATGCCTTGTCCAAAGTCACACAAATACCTAGAGAGGGAGGTAGGACCAGAACGCTTGTTTCCTAATCCCTGGTCCCTGGGATCTGCTGTTTCATGCCCGGATGCTCAAGGCTCCGTGGACTCCTTCCTGGCCGGGGGAACCCACACACAGCCAGTCGTGTTGCCCAGAGATGGGGCATAACTCAGGGCAGAGTGATCATCCCTCTCGTTTCTCTTTTACTTCGTCCTCATCTCAGAGGGCAGCATGGATGTCAAATTCATTTATGTGTTTCATTATTTTGCTATGATACATTAATATGTAAAACCTACTGCAATTATCTGCAACTCTCCAGAAAACATTTTTTTCCTTGGGGTGCAGGGCTTGAGCACCCCCTCTGATTGAGAGCTAACCTGGCTCCCGGGAGTATAAGAAGGAGTGCGTCCCACCTTTGAAGCTTGTGTCCAGTGGTCTCTGGGCGAGGTGGTTTGCCCTTGGGAACTTGAATAATACAGATTTCCTTCTAAGGGTCACGAAGAATCCTTGGGGTGACACAGATAGCTAGCTGGTCATGCAGCAGAGCCGAGACGTTTTTTTCTTATGCCACCTTCCAAATCACACGACAACAGACGGCGCTTCCCTTTAAACTATTCCTGTGTCCCACTGAGACAGAAGAATGTTCAAGTCTTAGATGAGAGGCTCAGTAAACATTTTCGCACATCCAAAATACGTCAACCCATCATAGAAGCTTGCTTGTTTTAAAAGTCGTTCAGTCTGTTTAAAGCAAATAGACCAATCTCACAGGCTGCAGACAACTAGACAACAAGCCGAGAAAATTTCAAAACAAAAAGCCAGCGCATTCCCCAACTCCCTTTAAGCTGTCTTTTAAAAGCACAGGGAAGAAGAAAACACACTTGGGTTGTAAACAATTTCTAAACCTTTCTGCTGGGTTTTGGCACTTTAAGAGCAACGGTTTATATATAGGGGCCATGTGACATGTTAACGGGGCGCTCAGATCTCTAAAGCTTCTGGTTTTCCTTTGTTTGTTCTTTTTGTTTTTTCCTACAGGGTGGTGATTCATCCTGTCTCTACAAAAAAATCCAGGTCAATAATATTCCAATATGACAACCACACACAAACACCCAGCCTCAAGGATTTTGTGAGCATCAAATGTGATCAAATGAGATAATGTAGGTGAAAGTGCCATTAAGAGCCTCAGGTACGCCTCAGATGTGAGGTCTTATTCCCATGGACTCAAGAGTTGGGAAGCACTGAAGTCATTAATTGGCGCACTGCCATTGCTCTTCCGTAAAGTTGTGATCTGACCCATTTTTCAGACAGGAACTTAAGGTTACACACTGGGGGTAAAGCGTGATGTAGATTTTGGAATATTCAAATCCCATCTTAAAGAATAGCCTCCCATCATGTTGGAATCTGGCAAATGCTGGAAGACTGGTGATTCATTGCTTCCCCAATGCCCTTATTTGGTAGCAGGCAAATAAAAATGATCATTTTCAGATTTAGATTTTTCTCAAACCGTGGTGTGAACCGCTATTTTTACTTTTGCTTCAGTCACCATTCTCTGTAGTAGAAAGTGTATTTAGAGTTGTAAAAACTGTTTTTCCATTTGCAGCCTAAATTTAAATATGGAATCCAGCAACATAAGTGTGCTCTTGGTCAGATGTAGGAGTCATGATCATCAAATCCAGAACTTCTGACCTTGGCCCTCATCTCCACACTTCACGGACTCCACACCACTAATTCCACAAGCACTTCACTAGGAACTATTCACAGCACGTCTCTTAGGACGCCTCAAGCAATGTGCTATACTCAATGCTTTTAATATTTGTGTTGGAGACTGATAGGTCTACGTAAATGACACTCAACTCACAGGAGGTGAAACCCAACATGGTCAGCTGGTTTCTACATGATGGGCCCTTGGGGCGGGGACCCTGTCCTGGGCTCCACAGGAAGTGACAGGTGCTACCAAAGGATGAGCAAATCTCAGAACCCTCATTTCCCTGGTAGGTTGTTGGTGTGTTATCCTAAAAACGCCGAGCCTGCAGTCAAAATCCTCCAGAGGTCAGAGCCAGGGTTTGCCTCCTGCTCAGAACACTGGCTGCCGGGTCAGGAGAACTTTGGCCACATAACCTGATGAGACCCCAGGTCTTTCCGTGACCTGCATCCCAGGTCTGACTCAGCAGCCCATGCGGTGACTAACTTCCTGTGACTGGGCTTTCAGATGCTGATGTTGACAATATCCTTGCCAAGGTAACTGGTCCAGACTGGTTAGGGGCACGGATGAGTTCAAGCGGGTTTCAGCTAAATCACACGAGTGAGACCATGTCTCTAAAAACAATAATAAATAACTGACCTATATTTACTCAGCCTGGGTTCCTTGCTACTACGAGAGACCTCAGACATCAGCCCAGTCTGGTCTCTACTCCCTTTCTCTTTCACAAAACCTCCCATGGCTCCTTGAGGTGGGTTGGTGACACCAGCTTATTGGAGTCTTGTGTTTATGGGGCTTTGTGAGGCAAGTGCGAGGAGGGACCCCAAATAACTAAATTTATTTATTAAAAGTTGTGCATTTTTTTTTTTTTTTTACATGTTTAAACTTTAGTCACCTTCAAAGTACTCTCCGTGTGATGCAATACACCTATCAGGACATTTTTCCCACTGCTCAAAAAATTTTGAACTCGTCAATTTTGATGCCTTTTAGTGTTTCTGCCATTTTTTTTTTTGTTTCACCTCTTCCACAGGGACAAAATGTTTCCCTTTGAAGTCTTTTTTCATCTGAGAAACAAAGAAAGAAACAAAAAAAGCCACTTGGGGCAAGATCAGGTGAATAGGGAAGGTGGGGCATGGGAGTCATGCTGTCTTTGGTCCAAAACTGCCGAACACTCAGCGTGGTGTGGCAGTTGTGTTCATAAATCACCCTTATGAAATGGGCAAACTTGTTGAAAGACTCTCCCCCCAAAATTCACTGATTCCAAATGCAGGCTCTCACAACAATGCTAGCTGGTACACCGATGCCGATGGGTTCCTAGAACACGCCTCTCGGGGAAAGCCTGTACTGCAAAGGGCCCACCCTTCAAAGGATGATTTCGGTGTTTTCTGGGCCTTCCTCATAGATGAATGTGGCTGGTTCTCCCACCCTGGCTGCCTCTCATGATTCAGATCTCGTGGCGGATAGAAGACTCAGATTGAGTCTGACACAAAATCCTGATGAAACGTGGGACAGTGCCTTGCCACCGAATCTCAGGTGGCCAGAGGCAGAAAATTAGGAAGATGCTGACCAACTGTTGCACCTTACACAGCTGGGTGTGCCCTCTCTGTCCAAAATCCACCTGCCCTAAATCCAGTGCAGACTTGGCCAGAAGCCTTCTTCTTTGAGGATCTGGGCATGTTACTGCGAGCTTTTCTTCCATCTCCCTCCAAATCTGCCATCTTTATCAGGGCCCTCTGCTCCTGTAAATTCTTGCAGTGTAGGAAATGCCCAGTGGACATGCAAAATAATCATGTCATCTTTCACACATTTATGATATGTTAGCAATATTTCTAATAGTCACTAAGGGACACGAGTTTATCTTTCTATCTTATATCCCATAAATCTCTCCCCTTTTTTTTCATCACTAGTGTAAATTGTGCTTAGTCCAATAACAAGGTTAAAATTACAGTGCTTTTCATCATTACAGAGATGCTCTTGCCTCTGATGGGAACGATGGCTACATCTGAAGCTTTGCAAATTTATTTTTTCCCTTTTGCCTGCGTCAGGGTGACCTCTGGAAGGTGAGTAAAAGATGTTCCCTTAGCTGTGCACAGACTGTGTTCTAGATGTCTGTTGATGAATGCCAGAGTTTAAGGAGAGGCCTTTGGTCTGGGGGAGAGTCACTTGACTGTGCCTCTGCTCCTCCTCCAAGACCCACTTTCAGAATCTAATAGGGGGCAAGGGACAGGCTGATAGCTGAGGTCTCTCGTAGCAGTAAGGAAGCCAGGCTGCATAAATATAGTTCAGTTGTTCATTTTTATTTTAAAGGCAGAGTCTCGCTCTGTTGCCCAGGTTGGAGTGCAGTGGGCTCAAGTGATGCTTCTGCTTCAAGTTCCTGCCTCAGCTTCCCAAGTGTTGGGGACTATGGGCACGTGCCACCTCACCCAACTAATTTTGTTTGCATTTGCGACAAGGTCTCGCTATGTTGACAGGCTGGTCTTAAGCTCCTGGGCTCAAGCAGTCTTCCTGCCTCAGTCTCCCAAAGTGCTGGGATGACAGGCGTGAACCACCACGCCCAGCTTAGGTCAGTTACTTAACCTCTCTGAGCCTCAGTCTTTTCCTTTGGGGATAATAGTTGAATCTCTTACATTCATTGTGAAGATTGCAAGCAGTAAGACGTATAAAGAGCTTAACACAGTGTCTGGCACATAACGTAACTTGTAAGTGCCAGCAGGCTTCATTGTGATTGTTGCTGGGTCTAACCTCCTGTTTCCACGTGGCAGCCCTCTGCCCTGCCAGGTCCCTACAATTGTCAGGAGAATCCGTGTGCCCTAGGTGTTTTGGTATTTCTTCCATGTCCTAACTTCCCAGATCAGCCTCTACACCTTGGGCAGGGAATAGGCACAGGCAGAATTGGTGACAAGTCAGCGGAGACTTCAGTCAGGTGCCAGTGGGGTCCTTGGAAAGTTCCTGTCACTCCTTTCTGCTGCGGGTGGCCCTCCGCCTGCCACACCCATACCCCTAACAGTCTGTCACTCATGCTGGGGTATTTCCTCCATACCCCTGCCACGGCCTGTGACTCCATTGAGGCTTTTCTTCTGCCCACACAGCTCGGAATGGCCAGGTTCAGCTGTGGAAAGTACCCCTGGGTTTTGGCTGTGATGAGATGTTTATTAACAAGTTGCTTCTCTCGGGCTTTTACCCATCTCTCAATGGAGGGCTCATCTTGTCCCTTTTTCCAGAAGTACCCCCTCATCTACCATTTTCTGCAGTGTTTCCTGGTTCTCCTTGGGGCAAGCTTCTGCTTCCAAATGTGTAGGAAGGCCATCTCCATTCAACATTTTATTTTTACCTATTCATGTATTTTAATTTGGGTTCTTATTCTCTCACCCAGACTGGAGCACGGTGGCATCGTCACGACTCACCACATCCTCGACCTCCGGGGCTCAGGGAATTCTTCCTCCTCAACCTCTTGAGCTGGGACTTCAGGTGCATACCACCACATCTGGCAATTAAAAAAAAATTTTTTTTGTAGAGATGAGATCTCAGTATGCTGCCCAGGCTGGTCTCGAACTCCCGGTCTCAAGAAATCTTCCCACTTCAGTTTCCCAAAGTGTTGGGATTATAGTCTTGAGCCACCATGCCTGGCCTCAACATTGTCTTTTTGATTGAGGAGTATGTTGAGACATTTTCTATTCCCCTCTAGATAAGACACATTCCATATAATCAGGTCGTCCTTCAGAGCCCTTGTTCTTCTCTCTGGAATGGAAGGAGAATGTCATGCCAATTTCTCTCTCATCTGACTTCATTGCTTCCAGTTCCTTATCGGCAAACTTTATCAGACATTCATTAATTACAGAAGCAGAAGAAATGCTTTAGATGGTGTCTGAGTTGGGGCACAGTGAATCTCCCTCTAGAGATCAGGGTCTGCTTCTTTGTCTCTGACTGAGTCACTGAGTAAGCCCCAAGGACAGCTTACAGTTTTCCCTGTAGGAACAAAACCGAGGGTAGAAACCAGAGTCCAGGTTTTTTGAAATGATGGCACATCATATGTGCTGACAATTTTCTTCATATCGTGATTCTTCTTTCTTTCTGTCTATCTATCTATCTATCTATCTATCTATCTATCTATCTATCTATTATCTATCTATCCTCTGACATCATCATCTATACATGACTTTTTGCTTGTTACACACTTACGTCTGATCCAGAGCACTTTCACTGGAGGGGAGATGTGTCAAGGTATGACTTACCACTGGTACAATGGCCTGGTTTTTGCCAGATTTTGTTTGCGCTCAATAAATGGAATTGGATACCTCTTTGGTAAGAACTGACATTAGAACACAATAGAGGCTATGCACAGTGACTCAAGCCTGTATCCCAGACTTTGGGAGGCTGAGGCAGGAGGATCGCTTGAGTTTAGGAGTTTGGGCAGCCTGGGCAACATAGCAAGTTTTCGTCTCTACAAAAAATATAAAAATTAGTTGGGTGTGGCGGTGCATATCTGTAAATGCCAGCTGTTCTGGAGGCTGAGGCAGAAGGATCACCTGAGCCCAGGAGGTTGAGGCTGCAGTAAGCCATGGTCTTACCACTGTACTTCAGCCTTGGGTGAAAGAGTAAAACTATGACTCAAAAAAAAAAAAAAAAAAAAAAAAAAGGCAAGCAAGCAACAGAGAAATGCATAGAAACACACACACAGTCTTGTTATTGAAACTAATATAAGTCAATGGAAAAATGCATTGGCAAGGCTCAGAAACAGAAAGTATCTTTATCTAAAACAGCTGGATATGACTGGCCAGTGATCAATACTTACAAAATTAAACACGATGCATATCTTCCTCTCTGTTTTGCAACCCCATCTGCAGTTGGTCGCTGGGTTCTGTTGACCTTTCTTTTTTTTATTTTTTATTTTTATTTTTGAGTAAGAGTCCTACTCTGTCACCCAGGCTGGAGTTTAGTGGCACACTCACCGCCAACCTAGCGTCGACCTGCTTGGCTCCTGCAATCCTTTTGCCTCAGCCTTCCAGGTAGCCATAACTACAGGCATGTGCAACCATGTCCGGCTAAATTATTTATTTATTTATTTATTTATTGTAGAGATGAGGTCTCGCCAAGTTGCCCGGGCTGGTCTTGGACCCGCGGGCTCAGACAATCCACTCGCCACAGCCTCCCAAAGTGCTGGGATTATAGGCTGAGCCACTGAGCCCGGCCCTGATGTTCTTTCTTTGCTTCATAATATCCCTTGCATTTATTTCTTTCTTTTCATTCCTACTACACTCCTAGAGCCCTGTGACCTCATGCGTGGTCCATTGCAATAGACTTCTAACTGGCTTACGTACTCTCTACTGTCTTTTCTCTTCAAGAATCAACTTAAAATTGTCATTTGATTAATCTTGATAAAATACTACCTTTTTCAAATGTATTGGCCCATAATTGTCCAATTTCCATATAGGTAGATGTCCAAAATTCTCTTGGTATGGCGTCAGAACCTTCCATGAAGAGGATCTTGAAGTGATCACTCTCCTCAGAACATCCTGAGATGTTATTCTTTGTATAATTAATCTCACACATTCAATGAACATTGTCTCATGACCTTTCTCCTCAAGTTTTGAGTTGCTCCCTAACTTTTCCATGCTCACCTCATCATTTGTCCTGGGTGATGAACTGCTCATAGATGGTTTATTCATATTCGAAGTCTCTTCCAAAGCATCTCGCACAGGTCTTGCAGTAAGTGGACATTCCAGAATATTGAATTAACAGAAGAAAAAGTAACTTAATTAACAGAAGAAAAAGTAACTGAAAAGGAAGACAAACTAGTTGAAACATTTTCAGAACCAGCAGAGAAATGATGGGTCTAGAGCTTTGTTCCTGTGCATGTAGAATTTGAGGAAATGATGGCGAATGTGTTTTTCACAGTATTACGTATCTGGAAAGAATCTGTGAGGTCATCTTGTCCAGTTTCCTGACTCTAAGTCATCTGACAAAAAGAGATCTATTATATGCTTAATGGGCTCAGAGATAAGATTCCTTGGGTCTTTTGGATAATTAAATCTCAGAGTTGTATCAACTCTTCACACAACAGCTCTCTCACTTGCCACTCTAGGCCGATGTCCTAAAGTTTTTGGTGACCCAAAATTTACTAAATTCCTGCAGTGCATGTTCAAAATGTATGTTCCTAGGCCCCCTTCAAAGAATAACATTCAATCATTCTGGAATGGTGACACATGAATCTGAAATAGACTTAGTATATGTGTGTGTAATATATCCTGGGGAATTCTGACGTAGGGGGTCTGCACAACACCCTGAGAGAGAAAAAAAACCACTTTGATTTGTTTTTAAAATTTTAGCTTAAGCATATTCATTCAAGGACCATTTTCTGTAAACATTAAAAAACAGCTAATTAAGCCATAAAGAACAAAATCATGGACTTTGCAGCAAATTGGATGGAGTTAGAGACCGTCATCCTTAGTGATCTATCACAGAAACAGAGAATTGAATACTGCATGTTCCCACTCATAAGTGAGATCTGAGCATTAAACACGTTAGCACAAGGGAGGGATCAGCAGTCACTGGACACTGCCAGGGGAAGAAGAAAAGAAGGGAGGAGGGGACAGGAGACAACACAAAGGGTACCTGGCCCCAAACCAGGGGACATGAAGGCCAGGCCAGTTGGAGGCCCAAACTTCACCTACATGTAGTCTATTTGTGTAGTTAATCCTGACTTGTACCCACATCTCTATAATAAGATAAAAGACCCAACTGATGAATAGTTTTCCTTAAAATGGTGTGTCCTTACATGAGTATATTTAGCTTCATCTGTATTGAGCTCTATATTAAATTGAACTTGATGTTCAACACACGATTATTGAGCAGCAATGTGCCAGACATTATAGCTACAAGATGGATGAGTTAGATAAGGTAGGCAGAGGATTCTTAGGAAGCTCACAGTATAGTGGGAGAGTGAAAAACTTTGATAATGATGGTGATGTCCTAAAGTTTGTAGATACTATACGTGTCGGTGGCAATCCAGCAGGGGCAGAGACTTGGGGTCTATTGTCCATGGCGCTAGACGGAAAGTATC